AATGGAGGAATGCAGCAGCTCCCTCCTCCTCGGGTCGACAGTCGTCTCCTTGGTTTTGTTTGTGTTCAAGGAGAGATTGTTTTCCTGACACCACGTCACGAGCCCGGCCACCTCAGCCCTGTAGTCCGTCTCCACCCTCCTCATCCTAGTTATTTTATTTTCTGATATTTTCAGCAGTATTTATTAAAGTTACATCTCATCTGAACTGTAGCAGCTCACGATCTGTAAAAAACTGGCTTCTTTATCAACCTCATCTTCTACAGAGTATTCTGATTCTGTTTCTTTGAGTTGCAGGTGATTTGAGTTATTACAACAGTAAAATCCTGCTTTTACATTTATGAACAAGTAATAACAATCTAATTATGTAACGTACTGTAAAATAGTTTAATGGGCACAGGAAGCTATTTTCTGTATCAAGTGCTTTTACCTTCAGTAACATTTTCAGTGCAGAAACTTAACAGTGTGGTTTTAGTAGTTTTCCTTTGTTCCTCCATCTCTGATCATCTGTCGATCAGCAAACACTGAATCACGACATGAATTCATGTTTTTACAGAGAGCTTGTGTAGCCACATCTTCCTTAGCACGATGCTGCGCTCTCAGTAAAGTGTTGCTATCTGGACCGTCAAGTTATTTCAGTCAGCTGTAACTTGATTAACTTGATAAGCAGATAGTTACTGAACAGCTGCTCTTGAATGAACAAGTCTCTCTTCATGTCACGTTACTGCGACGCCCTGCATTCTTTACAGTAATATGCTGCTCACCACCAGTAAATGTCAGCAGCACAAACACGCAGCACATGAAGTGCCTGTAGGGAGAGCGTTGTCTGTCCTGGTTGATATTTTTGAGTTTTCTTCTTCTTTGCTGTAACCACAGCAGAGTCCAGTCCGTCAAGCGTTTGTTAGAATAAGATTGTTATGAGACAGTCACACAGTTTGTGCTGTTGGTCTGCTGATCAAGCAGCAGCTGAGCAGGTTTAAAGACAATAATGCAGACTCACAATATATATTGAGACAAACGCATCAGGAGACTGAAGCCACACAGACAGATTGTGAAAACTCAGTACGTGTTTGCAGCACACCGCTGATAAACTAGAGTGAATAGAATTTGCTTTGGAACCGATGGGCAGAATCGAAATGTGTCTTTCCTTCAAAATCAGAACTCAAACCTTAATCCTACCATGCATATTGTCTATTTCATTACTTTCTCAACCCCTACTTTCATCCACCACTGTGTCACAGGCCCTCCCTGTTAAACTTTAATCATATCTGAGTGTTTCCAGACTCGTCTTTAATCCACCACCTGACCACACGAACGTTTGGGTTTTATTTTCAGGACTGTGGCGAGGAGGAGGGTCACCATGCTTACTGTGTGGGGACCCGTGAGGTCCAGTGTCCTGCAGCTTCCTGTACGACGAGCCTGCTCAGGTGTGATCCACAGGAGGCCACCTGCACCTGGTCTCACCTACGCAGCACCACCACCTTTAGTCGGCCTCCACAGGTCTGGAGGACGCAGATGCCTATCGTGTGTTAAGACTCTGCCAGGTGTCGGGACTCTTTCAGGTGTCGGGACTCTTTCAGGTCTCGGGACTCTTTCAGGTGTTGGGACTCTTTCAGGTGTCAGGTGTCTGTCAGGAGTCGGTGGCAGCAGCAACAGCAACAGTGGTGGGGATGTTGCAGGTGTTGCAGGTGTTCCAGGTGTTGCAGGTGCAGACGGATGGTACAGCAGCCTCTCAGACTCGGCTCCGGTTCACCTGTGTGAACACTTCCTGGTGAGCGTCCAGCAGGCGAGCGGGTTGCCGTGGTGGCTGAGTATCGTCGTGGCGACACTGTCGGTCAGGACGCTCATCACTCTGCCGCTCGCTGCCTACCAGCTGGTCATCATCTCCAAGGTCAGTGTCGGGGGGGGCGGAGTCCGCTGTCAGATAAACACTTAGTGTGAAAACATGGTAACCATAGTAACCCCTCGGTGATGTGCAGGTGGAGGCGCTGCAGGTGGAGATCTCTGACCTGGCGAAGAGGCTGCGATATGAAGTTTCGGTGCGAGCGAGAGAGAGAGGCTGGACGGAAAAACAGAGCCGGTGAGAAACAAACAAATGGCGAGGAGCTGGGCTTTGGTTTGGATCAGTCAGTGGAAGAGGAACAGACGCTGAAGACTGTTCTCACCCTCAGACCTACTGACACGCAAGCTCTAAAGATGTACAGGTTCTAATGAGTACAGACGTGTGGGTACAACTTTGTTCTGAATCTCTGTTCTCTGTTCAGGTTCCAGTTCCAGAAGAATCTGCGCCGACTCATCTCTGAGCTCTACATCAGGGACAACTGTCACCCCTTCAAAGCCAGTGTGCTGGTTTGGGTCCAGCTGCCGCTCTGGGTCAGTCTGTCTCTGGCCCTCCGAAACCTGAGCCTGGATCAGTCAGGTATGAACACACGCCCAGATCAGCCCAGTCAACTGATTCTAGATCAGTCCAGTCAACTGATTCTAGATCAGTCCAGTCAGCTGACTGGTTCAGTCTCAGTGAAGTGATCCATTACTGACCCGTGTTGATTCTGTGCAGCCCGGCAGGCTGAGCTGGCAGTGGGAGGCGCTCTGTGGTTCCCGGACCTCACCGCGCCGGACTCCACCTGGATCATCCCCATCTGTCTGGGACTCACCAACCTGCTGGTCGTAGAGGTCAGTGTGTCTGCAGGTGTGTGATCACCTGACCAGTGATGTCATCAGTCTGAGCATCCTGTGCTCTTCTTCTTCAGGTGTTTTCTCTGCAGAGAGTCGCCACGTCCAGGTTCCATCGGCTGGTCCTGAACTCCATCAGAGGGTTCTCGGTGCTGATGATCCCCATCGCTGCTACGGTTCCCTCGGTGAGCTGAAGTCTGTCACTCTTGTGTTCTGAGAGCAGCTGATTGGTTCAGGTGGAAGGTGCCGAGGGAGTCCAGGTTCAGCTGCAGACGGCAGGAATGCAGAGGCTTCGTGTTCAGATCTGTTGAGTGGATGAATGCTTCTGAGCGTGTTGAGTCGCGCTCACATTCCTGCCGGATCATCAGATTAAGATGTTGCTGTCCGAGATCAGAACTCGGCTCAGAACATAAGCCAGATTCTATCGGATCAGGGCTGCACGTCCGCACGTTCATTCTCTGGTTTGTTTTGGTTCGAGCTGCGATGAAAGATAACCGTCATTATTTATTAAACGGCAGATTTATTCTTGAAATGTTGGTAGACAGTTATAATGTGACAGATAGAACAAAGGTATGCGGAGCTGAAGGACACACTCAGGTTCATTCATCCTGGCAACTGTAGACTGTTTTTGCGGACCAGCACTGATCCATGACTGGTGGTTTGGATCAGGTGTTTTACTGTGGAGACATTCAGGTTTTCTGCCACGCTGTGGAAAATCAAATAAAACACAGAAGCACTTTGGGAACACTGTTCCTCATCAGCCCTGTGTTTGTATGGAATTAACCAAAACGCCATTCATTCCTATGAGAGCATCACTGACTTCTGATGTGTTTGGGAAACTCCTCCTTCCATCTTTCTCTGGTCTGAAATGTACCTTGTGTCCGTTGGAAACCTTCAGCGATAGATTACAGAGAGACCAGAATGTGTGCAGCACAAAGTTGGAAAAACGAATTAGCTACCAGCTGTTTGATTATATTTATAGTTAAACTGTGTAAATGTGTAATTACAAAATGAACTAGTTCAGCTAAACTAGCTCATGCTAGCTGCAGAGGAAAACATACCGAAGAGCTTCACACGTCCTGTAACAAAACATTTCACCAAACTGGCTCCACTTCCTCACTGTTTTCTCTTCATGTATCATTCGTCCCGTTTTAGTGCCTTATGCACATCCATCCATCCATCCATCCTTCCATCCATCCATTATCTGTACACCGCTTAATCCTCACTAGGGTCGCGGGGGGGCTGGAGCCTATCCCAGCCAACTTAGGGCGAAGGCAGAGGGCACCCTGGACAGGTCGCCAGTCTATCGCAGGGCCACACTTATGCACATATTCCATAAAAACTGATGGTTGCGGTGAAGCTTCTATTTATTGATAATGAAAGGCATTTCCTCATGTTGAACAGCAGGGGGCGCAGTCTGTATGTTGTACGGATTTACAGACGCGAAGCAAAACGAAGCGGAAAACAGGCGTCAGGGCCTGAACCCTTTATTGTTGACCCGACTGACACATGAGTCTGTGGTCGGCTTTAACCCGGGACAACAACAACACACGAGCTTTAGTTGCTCTGACAATGACTGTATGCTGCTTGATGAGTTCATCACTGGTTCTCTAACATCACTGTATCTTCTGTTTCCTCTTCCATCTCTCCCAGTCCATGGCTCTGTACTGGTTCACCTCCAGTTTGGTGGGATTCAGTCACAACCTCCTCCTTCGCTCTCCTGCGATCCACAAAATCCTGCGACTCCAGACTCAGCGCTCAGAATCTCCGTACAGAGACCTGCTGTCTGCCTTCATCGCCAAATACCGCAAATAAATACCCCGAGTCCTGCATCAGACACTTGAGCTGAAGGTTCTCAGCTCTGAGTGAACCAACGACAGCAAACTGATTCATACAGAAGTCAGGATTCAAACCGATGAGGAGGAGGTTTTATCAAATTAATCTTCAATGGCTCATTTCCTTCCTCTCAGAAGCTGTGAGACTTTAACAAACACCACAGGATGCAGCAGTGAGCTTTCGGTAGACCCGCCCTGGGTTTTGGCTCTCAGGTGGAGCCCGTCTGAGCTTCTGTGCAGGTTTTTGTGGCCTGTGTGAAGCCTGAAGAAAACCTGCAAACATTACTCAGTGGAAAGCATCAAGACTGATTTAAATGTATGTCATGTGGGGAAATGAAGCAATCATCGTAAATCCTGCGACGATGGAAACATGAAAGCCAAGTTAACAGACCTGAGTGTCATACTGGCCATCAGTCATGTGCTGCTGCTGTTCAGTAATCGTGTGGAAATAAGAAAGATGTTTTATTTGTGTGTGAGTTCAGAAATAAACAAGATTTAATTTAAGGAAATGATTTCATGTTCGGCGATCACACTTGAACTCGTCTTTCTACATTTAACTTCTTGTCAACTTGTCGTCCAGCAACAACCACTAAACACTAATATTCAGTTTTTCTCTTAAGACTACAGGATTTACTTTGCTGTGTTCCTTCCAGTCTGTCCTCTGAGGACTGGGCTAAACATAGTTTCAATAACAGGAAGAATCCATGTGACCTCAGACTGGAATTTTTCCTGTTGATTATTTTCCCACAGAAACACAAAGTGTTTCAGACTCTGAAACAAAACTGAGCTCAGATTTAACTGTTTCGCATCTCACAAGCTGAAAAACATCATTAACAGTTTATGCAGCTGCTCACAAACATCACTTTATCAACAGATCAATCAGTTTGATCAGTCATGTCATATTAATAGCATCAATCAGGTAGATTAGGTAGATCAACCTTCTTCATCAGATCTGTGGCATCAGATCAATCAGTGTTTTGTTTCTTGGTGTTTTTTGTGAATCTGCAGCTTCAGTCTTTATTGTGTTGTTTTATTTTTTTCTGTTTTCATTGTGTAGAAAACTTGACAGAACTGCAGCAGTTTAATAAAAACTCCGAGCTCAGGCAGAAACTTCACACCATTAAATCCTAAAATCCTGCAGGACTGAGACAAAAGCAACTGATTCTCCTCCATGAATCTGCTGCTTTGTGTGTTTGCGTTTGCAGTTCTCCATGTTTTAGTTACTCTGTGTAGTATTTGCTGTGATTCTGTGGCAGCAGATCTGGGATCAGGTCTCCTCTGAGGCGGAGTCAGCAGCTTCAAACAGCTCACATCCGTCCATCAGACCTCAGACTGGTTCAGACCGTTTCACACTCCAGACCTCCTGCAGACCAACATGAAGTCTTTCAGCCTCCTTCTGTCTCTGCTGCCGCTGCTCCTGCCGGTGCTGTGTGCCGGCTTGGAATGCGGACCGTGTGACCCGGCTCAGTGCGCTCCTCTCCCGGCGGAGGGCTGCGCCGCCGGTTCCATGCTGGACTCCTGCGGCTGCTGCTCGGTGTGCGCCGCCGCGGAGGGAGAGCTGTGCGGCGGCCGCCGCGCGGAAGGGCGCCGCTGCGGCCCCGGACTGGAGTGCGTCAGGGGCAAAGAGGACAAGAAGAACAAGATGGGAATCTGTGTCTGCAAGAGCGGCTACGAGGTCTGCGGAACCGACGGACAGACCTACAAGAGCGGCTGCGCGCTGAAGACCGCCAGTCTGAAGGCCGAGAGAGAGGGCAAAGAGCCGGTCAACATTCAGAACAAGGGCCGCTGCGCCACAGGTGAGGCTGAGACTCACAGGTGACAGACAGGTGCAGCTGATGTACACAGCTAAGACACTCAGGTCAGACTCAGACACAAGGGTGAGACACAGGTGAGACAGAGACATAGGTGAGGTTAAAGGTCAGAGTTACCTGTCCCACCTTTATACAGATGATGAGAAACAGCAGAACTGATCAGAGGAATCAGTGTCCTCCAGTCAGTCCTTAATGCCTGACAGTTACAGTCATCTCTGATAATCCCCCTTCATTCCTCACTGAGCATGCTCAGAAAACATGAAAACCCTCACTGGGCACGCTCAAAGCAAACTGCATTCCTCAGAGGTCAGCGAGGATCCACCGCCTCACGGATTCCTGATTTTATCCAGTTACATCAAGTTGATCTGCAGCCAGACATTTAACTCTTACCTGCCTGCCTGCCTCTCTGTTGGTCTGTCTGTATCACCTGTCTGTTGGTCTGTCTGTCTCACCTGTCTGTCTCTTGGTTTGTCCATCTGTCTCACCTGTCTGTCTCTTGGTTTGTCCATCTGTCTCACCTGTCTGTCTCTCTGTTGGTCTGTCTGTCTCTCTGTTGGTCTATCCATCTCATCATCATCTGTGATGTTTGCCTGCAGCTCCCATCATCGTCACCCCTCCAGGTGAGGTGTACAACGTGAGCGGCTCTCAGGTGTACCTGAGCTGTGAGGCGGTGGGCGTGCCCACACCTGTCCTCACCTGGAAGAAGGTGAGTCTGTTTAAATCCCTTTTTCTGCTGGTTCGTTGTGATACATAAAGATGTGGGTTTTTTTAATGAGCTGCTGTTTGTAGAAACAAAAAAAAATACTAATGATGAATGTGAAGAGATGATGCTGAGGTGAGTTCCTGTTCCAAACCACGATGTTCTGGTACCAAACCACGATGTTGTGGTACCACACAGTGATGTTTCCATCTCAAACCATAACGTTCCCAAACCAAACTGTGATGCTTCCATTTTCACCAGGATGTTCCTGCTTACAACTGGTTCCTCAAACCGTGATGCTCTCCTACCAAACAGTGTTGTTCATGTGCCCTGCCGTGATGTTCCCGTACCAAACTGTCATGTTCCTGTGCCATACTGGGATGTCTCATCGTTGTTCTTGATGAAGCCAACTGTGTTTTTGTCTTCCACAAATTTGACAGCGTGAACATCCTCATTTATGGCGACACAGTTGTTGGTGTTTAATGTCTACTTGCTTTTGTTGAAGTGGTATTTCCAACCCTGATACCTGATGGAGTTTGAGGTTCAGTTCCAGGTTTGGCAGATTTTCCGTTCACATCAGGGTACGATGGTTGGATGCTGAGCCGTTTTCCACCAACACCGTTTCTGATGTAGAAGTTCTTGGTTTCTATGTGGGACAGTACAGTGTGTAGAGCAGAACAAATGGCCGCTGTAGCTCTGATTGGCCGATACGCGAACTGAAGGAGGTCCAGTGTGGAGAGAACTGTGGTTTTGAAGTGTCCCCGTATCAGCCTCTCAAAGCACTTTTCATCAGTGCAGCTGGTCTGCAGTGGTTCAAGCAGGCTTTTCTTTCTGGGTTTTTCTTGGTGACTGGGGCGATAGTTGTTTCAAAGCAAGATGGGACAGTCAGGTTGAAAATGGAAGTGAGGACATCAGTGAGTTCTGCAGCAGAGACCTTCAGGGCTCGTTCTGGGACGTCGTCAGTGATCTTGTGGGGGTCAGTGTTCCTCAGGGTTCTGCATACGTTGGCTGATGTCACAGTGAGCAGAGGGTCACATGGTCCATAAGTGGAACGCTACGAGGCTCAAAGCAGGCTGTTGTCGTCCGTGATGTGTCTCCACCAATCACAGGACAGCTGTTCCTCCAGCAGCCCAACAACAGTGTTTCCAGATATCTAGTGTCCTTCGTGTTCATGCACTTTAGCTTAAATTGAACTCTGTGATGAATCATCCGACTCGTCAAGCTGTAACTTTACAACCTGACAACCAACAGACAGAAGTGTGTTCAGATCAAACAGTCTGATTCTGATCACCTGATCGATCGCTGTGATCAACCTTCTGCAGCTCCTGCACGCAAACAACACAATTATCACTTTGTAATGACGGCCACGTGAGGCTTGGATCACGGTGTACCGACAGATTAACGACTTATCCATTAAATCTGACTTTTATTACACTGAACTCTGTATTATTCAGATGGAAAAAGATCACTCTGACAGATGTGAAGCTGACGACGGCTGATGGATTTATTTTCTTGGCTTCAGGGCCCAAAAAGAGTCAAGCACAAAAAGAGTGGTGAGCTCATACAGTATGTTACCTGTAGCCTCAGGTGTGTTCAGGTGTGTCTGTCAGCAGGATTTTCTCTGCAGGTTCAGACTCTGTTTGCTAAAGGTCGCAGTAATTTTCCTAATGATTGCACAACAACAAGCTGCAGCCTGCTGGAAAAACAGACGGAAAAATGTTGTTGCATTCGACACGATGAGTTTCTACAAGTTCACGAATGTTTCTTTATGAAATCTGCTCACTGACGCCTGAAGGTTCACCTGAAGGTGGCACGACATTATGCAGCAGTAACATCAAGAATTCAACCTCTGGTGATGGAATAAAGCTCAGGACGGATGATGATGAAGGTGATGGTGATGTAAATGATGATGAAGACCATGATTGTGGTGATGTTGGTGATGATGACAGTGATGATAGCAATGATGGTGATGCTGAGGAAGATAAAGAAGATGATGGAGGTGATGGTTGGTATGATGATGATGATGATGATGATGATGATGATGATGATGATGACAGTGACGATAGTGATGATGGTGATGTTGAGGAAGATGAAGGTGATGGGGAAGGTGATGATGAAGATGGCAATGATGTTAATAGTGGTGAAGATGATGATGGTGACGTTGAGGAAGAAGATGTGGTGGTGGTGAGGTTGATTATGATGATTAAGGTGATGATAATGATAATGATGATGATGATGATGATGATGATGATGATGAAGATGGTGGTGGTGGTGGTAATCATGATGAGGATGATGATGGTGCTGGGTGTCTTCCTTCAGGTCCTCAATGGGAAGAAGAGGATGGAGCTGCTTCCAGGAGACAGAGACAATCTGGCGATTCAGACGAGAGGCGGACCAGAGAAACACGAAGTGACCGGCTGGGTGCTGGTGAGTCGCCACATGTTCACAGATGTGTTCTGTAAAAATGTTACGGTTACATCTGCAGTGTTTTTGTTTACTGTGTTTTAAAGACTTTAATGCCAAACCTCATATTTAATCATAGACAGGAAGTGATGTTGTAACAGTTCACCTATTAACTCCGAGGTGACAGTGTCACAACGCTCTATATAAAGGAGAAGAGCGGATCTATGCCTCAGCAGGGTGAACATCAGACAACCTCATACATTTGTTTTGGCTCAGAGCAGCCTTTTACTTTACACACTTTACTTTTTTACCCCCCCCCGCTCACATACACAAGCGCATCCCCAGACACAACATAGCGAAACGACACGGCTGAAAAACAGTTCTTTAAGTTCAGCAAACAGCTCATGGCCCGTCCGGCTTCATATAGTTCAGCCACCACCTGCACGGCTCTGCAAGGCCGCAAACAAATGCGATGCCATCAACAGCTGGACCAACTCACGGCTCTGCGCATCAGCCCTCCGTTGAATGACGGCTCCGGTCCTCGGCAACTCCGCGAAGCGGTCCGTCCTCCCGTTCCAACACCTTTAGGTATTCCAAAAAGTTCCAACAAGCATAAATCCACACTCCGC